TTTTTCTTTGTACAGTGCTATTGGTGTTTTCATTGTAGTTCATAAAAGAATTTATTTGTATTGTTCTTTTTTAGACTTTGTACATCAAAAAAGTTGTTGAAAATTTTGCTTTTTTATAAACATTCAATAAATATTGAAAATTCAGTATTTTATTTTTGTGATTTTATTCCTGTTAAGTAGTCATTGTTCAGTATAATAAAACTCATAAAATTAAAATTGACAGTTCATCAATAGAAATATTCTAAAGAATAAATGTGGGTATGACAGACCCATGCTTATGGACCTTTATGACAAAATTAGTACTATGCTCCACAGGCTTGAAGTACCCTTCAGTTCTCCTGTGCTGCCTTGCCTTTTGCCAATTTTTAGCTCCCTCCCAGGTCAGGGATGACTGTGATCAAAAAGCAGGAGTCTCAATGCCTTGAAAAGTCAGGACCCTCTGCCTTGCCTATGCACAGCTACTCTCCAGTCAGTTTTATCATTCCGTTCTCTTCCCTTGGAAATGCTAGACTCCATCCACCGACACATGGTTGCCACCAGTTGTTTTCCTGTTCTTCTCTGCCTCTCTGCAGAGTCCCGATTGATCACCCTTCATTTTGGTATTTCTGGTTCTGCTTCTGACACTTGTGTGAACTCTAAACTCTGAGAGTTAGACATACTTACCTCTGGATCCCCGCAAAGCCTCAGCACAATGCCTGGCACATAGTAGGCACTCATCAAGTATTTACTGAGTGCTTACTAGGTGGCCAAGCACTAATATGGGTGCTGGGGATACAGAGGCGAACAAGCCAGGCAAGGGCCCTGCTCTTAAGGAGCTCCCTCCCTAACCAGGACCGACCAGCAATAACACACATTCCAGAAAGGAAGGAAATAAAGAAGAAAAAGGGAAAGTGCTGGAGTTTAGCTCAGTGGCACCTCACCTGCCTCACAAGCACAAGGTCCTGAGTTCAATCCCCGGTACCACAAAAAAAAAAAAAAAAGGAAAGTGGCTAGGGGTGGGGGTTGGCCTTGTGTTGATTAGTCTGGGAAGTTTTCTCCAAGAAGGTGGATGTGAGCTGAGTTTGGGATGATAAGGAGCTAGCTATTCAAAGAGGCAGAGAAAAGCATCAGAATCAGAAGGAAAAAGCTCAGTGTGCTTGAGAAACAGAAAGAAAGCCAGGGTGGCTGAGGTACTACCTCAGTAGTAGGAGACCAGGAAGGCTACACAGATAAGGGTGGCCAGGGTAGGCTGCCTAGCACCAGTAAGGCCCCATAGGATTTAGGCAAGCGTGACATGATTTGATGCAGGTTTTTGAAAGATTGCTCTGGGTGACCCTGGGAACAGAAGTGGAAGCAGGAAGACCAGTAAGGAGGCTGCTGACAGGGGAGAAGGCAGTGGCTTGCACCAGGCAGCAACAGAAAAGATGGGAGGTGGACAGTCAGCCTCTCTGAGGACACAGCTGAAAGAAGCAGCTAATAAACTGTATAAAGGAGGTGGGGGAAGGGAATGACCATCAAAGTGTTGAACTCATTCAGTCACTAATTATCCCTATAGGGCCCATTTTCTATTGGGCCCCAGACCAGGCATTATAACTACAGTGAAGGTTTGTTGTGGCTGGATTGGAAGATGTGGCTTCTATCTAGTGAATTTGGACTGTCCAAGGTCAGACCCTCAGGTGCCATAAAAACAACCATCCCCTTCTCCCAGGACTGGGGAAGAAGGGTTATTTCCTCTGACAGACAAGGCCTCAAGTCAAAAGCCCCTCCTTGACCTGTGTCCCTGGGAGCCACCTGAGAAACACTGGTGTAAAGACTAGAATCCTAGGTGAGTATCGATGTTTGCTACAATCAAGGAGAAAACGATATGGCCAGACTAGGCCAATGAGCAAGCATCTGAGACCAGAGGAACTAAGCCCGCTCAAACCAACAGTCAGGCCTTTGAAGTCTGATGCCTAACCCTTAGCTAAACCAACACAGCCTTTATGGTCTGAGTCCTGTGGTAGGGGAGGAGGTCTACTTGTCCATCTCAGTGAGAGTGAGGCCAGACACAGGTGGCTGCGCTTCCAATACCCTCTTTGCTATCCTCTTTCAAAATACCACAAAATCTAGGATAGAGAGCCAAGGGTTCCTTAGATCTTCTCTGATCACTCATGCAATAAGCCTTCGAGGTACAAACTCTAGGGATTGTCTAAACTCGAAGGGATGTTTTTTTTTTTTTTTTTTTTTAGGGATGTCTTGTTTAAACTAAAGCTTGAAGGATGAGTAGCAGTTTGTCAAGGGAAGAAGGCTTTCTAGACTGAGGGAACAGTGCATACAAAGGACAGGAGATAAGAGATCAGCAGTTACCCTTTAGAAACAAGCACTTAACATGTTGCTCAACAGTGAAGGTCTACAGCCAACATTTTGCATCAGGACACTAGAAAGCTGGGTGACCTTGGATAAATAACTTAACTGGGGGCTTCAATTTCTTCATGTACATAATGGAGTTGTCGGGCAGATTTTATTATGTAATGCTTGTCAAGTGCTTTGGAATAGGAATCATTATGTTAGGATTAGGCATGTGAGTTTCAGTCGTACTGAATGGCAGGCAATGAGTAAGGTGGGCACTGTTGATCACTAAGGGCCCAAATGCCAGAGTACAGAGCTTGTTCTTTATCTTGTGTCCCAGGGAGGGGTGGGAGGCGTGTTCTGCTTACATATGCATTTTGGGTACCCACTCCCCAAGAATCCCAGGACCAGCAGTGGTGATGGGGGTCTCTGCTCACTTTCTAGAAGGTCCACCTCGAAGTCTTTGGTGGGCATCCGCACGGAGTTGAAGCCCCAGGTGGGAACGTGGCCTTCCAGCGGTGTCTTCCCGGACAGCAAGCGCAGGAACGTGCTCTTCCCAGACCCATCCAGCCCCAGCACCAGCACCTCACGCTGCTCTAGCTCCTCTAGAACCAGTTCCTCCTCTTCCTCATCCTCCGGCTGCGGGACAGAGATCAGGCTGCGGCCAGCAACTTCCGACCTGACCATTCCCATGGCACAACCAAAAGCACTGCAGAGCCCATTCCGCCCTCTCCCCGTCCAGGGACAGGCAGTCGTGGTCTAGAGGACTGGGAAGAGCGCTGCCTTTAGAATTCTGAATTGTAAAGCCTGCTCTTGTGGTTTTCCGCGAGTGTTCTACGGCTCATTCCGTCCCCTATGGACTACAAATAACGCTTTCTGGGACCGCAGAGGCTACCGAGCCTGGAAACTAGCGGCAGGCGAAGGGCTTCTCCCGGCATAACCCCCAGGGCTGCGCCAACGCGTGCACCGCGCAGGAGCCGTGCGGACCGGACCGGATCGAGCCCTCTCATCGGTCCCCGGCCGCGGGAAAGCTCCGGTCAGATGGCGTCACACCCAAATTCGCTCACCCGTTCCAAGATTCCTTGCCTCCGTGACTGCCCACAGCATGCCCACTCGCGCCGCAGCGGCCAAGTCCCGGACCCGGCGCACACAGAACAAGGTCGTCATCACACCCCTCGCCACACGCGCGAAGAGGCGCAGACACGGCCTACCTAACCCCTGCGCAGGCCTCGGCCCAGCACTCACCTCCCACTCGTCCCACTGAGGGAGGCGGACGGGCTCCGCGCCCCACCAGGCCTCGCCACGGTCCCAGCGCCGCTCCCGTCCTCGCCCGAAGTAGGCTTTCCAGACGATGAAAAGCACCGAGCCAAGCACAGCCGCGGCACCGCCCAGAGCCAGCACTAAGGGGCCCAGCGGCCTTGGCGCCATGCGGCCGGGCGAGGGGTGCAGGTGCCGGCTACGGAAGATGGCCCTGCTGCGACTGCGGCGGCGCCCACACATCCTACCCGGTCCCGTACTACAAGCCCCACAATGCACCGCCGTTGTCGCGATTGGTCGCCTGCCAGCCGGTGGCGTGAGTGGGGGGTCACTGGCTGGTGCGCTGGGACCTCCCTCTCGGCCGCCTGGTGCGGTGAGGTGCACGAGGCAGTTCCTGCGGAGGGTGGCCCTCGGCGGTATTTGCTACCAATTGTTGAGCACTTGCTGGGAGCCACGAGATTAAAGGACTGCTTTTTGAGTTACCTCTCACAGTACCTCGCAAAGGGAAATTGAGACCCAGGAGATAAGTAATTTGCCCAAGAGCTCACCGTAGTACGTTGGTGCAGCTTGCTTTCAAACCCAAGCGATCTGTCTTCCAGGTATCCCTCAAGACCCTGGGGAAGAAATTGGAACAAATTTGCCTGTATCACCCGCCTGTCGAAAACTTGACATCTTGACCCTCAGCGCCTCAGCTTTCCTTTGGCTGCCTCCGAAAGCCTAAGAGCTGTGCTATATTAGTGTCCTGAGCACGTTGGTGAAGCAGGCAGAGCCAGGAGTCAATGTTTAGCCCCACCGCCTTGTCCTCTGTCACCCCCAAGTAATTAACAAGGCTTCCAGATACAGCGTGAGGACCAGAAACTGGAGAAGTATCAATCCTCTGGCACTTCAGAGAGGGGTTCTACAGAGGGTTGTGGGGTAATGGGTGAAGAGATTCTGAGATCAGTGGGGCCAGTGCTCGCCCCCCCCCCATTGGGTCACAGCTCTTGGCTCTGTGTAGTTCCCAGTTTCCCTGTGCCCCTGGCTCTGCGTCGCAGCCTCTATTCCTCCTGACTTGCCTCTCCTTTATCTTTGGCTATGTGTGTGTAGTGCTCTCCTTCCCTCTTGACTTTTTACCTACATTGACTTTTTATAATAATGATTCTTTTTTAAAAATTTATTTTCATATCAACACTTCGGGGAGAGATGATTTAGAGATCTTAAACAACACTTCCTCTTCCCAAGTTTAAAAGTAATTGAGATGATGCAGGAGATAGTCAAATGCAGAGGAAATTGTCATCTGCTGAGGCTCTCCAGAGAGGAGGGAGCGTGTTGATCATGGCAACCACCTTCTCCTAACCTCCCAATCAAATCGTAACTCTTCTGGAGAGGAGTGGGGGTTGGGAGAATGTATGGCTTAAAAGGATGACTTCAGTGCTGTTTCCTTGTGGTTCAGGTCTATTTGTGAGTTATGAAAAATCAATTTAGTGGATAACAACTTGTTGGGAGCAGTGCTACATAATTCTAGGGAAAAATCATTTGGTTAGCCTAGTTCTCTTGCCTACAGCCCAGCTACAGAATAACTCCAGTTTGGCCTCCGGTCACAACTGAGACTTCAGTGATCCAGTGATGCTGTGATTCTCCAGGACAAGAAACATCCTGGGAGAACAAAACATCTGCTTAGTTCCTCGTTGTTCTTGGACTGTTAACATGTTGTTTACCCGAGAAGTACTGAACTCTCTGCAAGTCTTTTGTTACACCTTGTTTATCCCAATGTGAACTACTGAACTCTCTGCAAGTCATTTGTTACATTTGTTTCTCCCGATGTACTGAACTCTCTGCAAGTCATTTGTTACGTTTGTTTCTCCCGATGTACTGAATAAAAGGTGCAGTAAATTGGGGGCTTTTGTCTTTGCCGCCCAGAGCAGCACTGATCAGACCCAAAGCTCAGCTTCTTCTCAGTGTCATTTTTCTACCTTTCCTGTAATTCGCCGTGTGCTGCCGTGGCTCGCAGGAGACTAGGACTTACTGCAGAGGTTCTGGTAACGTCCCCTTTCCCTGTTCCCTACAACAACTATAATTTTTTAAAAATTAGAAAAGAATGAAAATTTTAAGTGTTTTTTTAAACTTTGTGTGCATGGCTCTGAGGGTGTGTGTGTGTGTGTGTGTGTGTGTTTACACCAGGAAACCATGTAAAAAATGTTAAACCAGATGTGATGGCACATAGTGAGACCCCATCTCAAACATCACAAACGAAATATTTCTTACTGTGGGGTCTAATAATAGTTTCATAGTTCCTGTTCTAGTGTAAATAACTCTGTGAGGAAACTGGGGTCAGGGAAAACATGTAGCCTCTTTTCCTCAACTGCACATACTGGACAGTCCTGCTTGAAACTTAGTTCCACTACCTGTTTACCTGTAGACCACTTTCAAAATCTAGCCAGGGCACTGGCTCAGGCATTGAGGGACCACTTTATTGGCAAGATGGGAGCAAGGCCTCCAAAGACAGAAAGTTCAGCACCAGTGAGTTTATCCAGAACTTTACACTCAAAAAAGTAAAAAATAGAGGAAAAAAAATTCTCAGAGATTTAATCTTGGCATTCATGAAAGTTTTAAACCAGGTGTGGTGGTGCATCCCTGTAATCCTAGCACTTGGGAGGCTGAGGCAGGAGGATCGCCTTGAGTTTGAGGCCAGCCTGGGCTACATAGTGAGTTCAAGGATAGTCTGAACTATATAGCAAGACCCTGGCTCAATAAAAACAAGTTTTATGTCATTTCAAGAAAGAGCACTTTAATCCCTTAAGAAATGAAGACTCATTGTGCTGGTCAGTTTTAAGTGTTAACTTGATTAAGGAATGCCTAGAAACCCTAAAAAGCATTATTATCTTTTTTTGGGAAAAGCATTATTATTATTTTGTATTCTTTCTTTCTTTCTTTTTGGTACCAGGGATCGAACTCCAGTCCTTGCGCTTGCACAGCAGGCGGCAAAACTGAGCTAAATCACAGCCCAGAAAAGCAACATTTTGAATGTGTCTTTGAGTGTGGAGGTTAGCATGTAAGTCTTTAGGGACCAGGTAGGGAAGGCTGCCCTCACTGTGGACAGGTACCACCCAAACAGTTTGAAAGGCACATTGTTATCTTGCCCTGAGAACTGATACATGCCTTTACCCTGCCTTGGACACAAGAACTCCAGTATAGCAGCCTTTGGATTCTAGGAGTTACACCAGCTGCCCTCTTTTGGAGCTCTTAAGCTTTGGCTGGAGACTGAGAGTTGTACCATGGGTTTCCCTAGTTCTGGGGCCTTTGGGCTTGTACTGAGCCATGCTACCAGCATCCCAGGATCTCCATCTTGCAGGTGAATGTCTTTTGTTTCTAACTGTACTGGTACTGGTAGTACAGTTAGAAACAAAAGGCCCGAGTCATTCTCTTCCCTTCATTCAACTGTAAATGCCACACCACCCTAATGATTATCCAGGTTTAAATTTAGGACTACCCTAATGATTATCTGGGTTTAAAATGAGGACTACCTTAATGATTATCTAGGATTAGGTTTAGGAGGTGGTGCAGATTGATGACATCAGTGAGGGAGACAGTGGGAGGCATCTTAGATCAGTGGTGTCTGACCCTATAAATACTGGAAACCTGAGTTATCAAGCCCCCTTTCTTTCCCTTAACACTCAAGTCCCTTTTTCCCTTCATCCTCTTTTTCCCTTTGCCCTTCTCCCTGTTCCTACTACTGTCCTGTGATTTTCAATAAATGTAGCTACTTAATACATACTACAAGGTGAATGCTTGGCAATTCTTTCCCTATACACAAGAACCTGCACTATTTTTGGCCTACTCAACTGTAACATTGGGACTTCACAGCTACCATAATTGGATCATTTGCACCATTTCCCCTAATAAATTTCCTTTCATATATATATATATAGGTTCTCCCTCTCTGGAGAACCCTAATACACTCCTGAAGGTCTGTTTTCCCATGCCTCACCTTTCCTACCTTCTCAGAGAGGGTAAGCATCCTCTTCCTATTCTCTCAGCTGGAATCCAGTCACTCTGTCTCTGTGTCCCCCACCTTGAGGATGGTGACCAGGTCTTTTTCATCTTGGAGACCAGTGTATTTAGTATGAGATGGAGGGCCCAGAATTCATGCTTAATAAATGTCTGGTGAATTGAATCAATTACACTTTCTCCCTTGTCTTTGTATGACACATTCTTTTTTTGGTCTCTTCCCTCTTCCCTGATCAATCTTTTATAATCTCTGCTTGCTTGTTACTGCCTACCATTAGCTGAAACTAACTACCCTGTTGGCAAAGACTCTTTGGAAATGGAATTGGCAGGAGCTGGCCCCTGTGACAGAGCAGAGTTGGTGAAAGGTGAGCAAACAGACAAATGACCAGAATAGTCCACCTGTTTTAGGGGGTTGGACCTAGGAGCATCACATTGAGTTACATCCCCAGGCCTACTTCTATTTTTTTTCCTTAAATTCTTTTATTGGTACATTTTAGGTAAACAATACATTAACATTTATCATTGTACCATTTATACAGGTATCATTTATACCTGTACATGATGTATCTTGGTTCTTATTTTTTTCCCCATTACCTGTGTGCCCTTCACCCCCACCACCCTTCCCTATTTACATAGACTTTGTTTCCATTTTTTTTCTTTTCTCATATTTTTTCCTTTCCCTCCTTTCCTTTCCCCTGCCCCTCACAACACCTCTACCCCTTTGGACCTTTTCTTCCTATTTCAAATTATCACTTATTCATTTTAATCATTTTAATTATTTACATTTTCAGTTTCTCACACTAGAGAAACTATTCAGTATTTACACATGTGTGTTCTATTTATTTCACTTATGATTATGGCCTCAGTATGCATCCATTTAGCTATAAATGTCTCTA